GGGCTGGGGATTCGAACCCGCCACCTTAGGTGTACGTGGCTGGCGCCTTAGCTGGTTGAGCTATGGGCGCCGAGCCCATGAATAAAGAAATTATAGGAATTACAGAAAGGGAATTTAGAATATTGATGGCAAAAATGATGAAGAGAATTATAGAGAAACTGGATAGTAACCTAATGAAAATTGAAAAATTTCCCCCAGAAATGAATGAAAGACAGGGTGAAATTAGAGAGGTTATATTTGACCTTAAGGAATTGAAGAAGTCATTAAGGGAATCTACATATGCACTAGAAAGTATCAATAAGACATTAAACCACAGAGGTGTATGTTGGTTGCTGTAACAACCAGCAGCAGGGTTTGTTGGTTATGGCCTCCAACTTTAAGGGTAACATGACATCAAGTGCCCAGTGAAAAAGGATGAGTCCTAAGCCTGAGCTTACTGAAGAGCAGAAACAGGAAATCTGGGAAGCTTTTGATATCTTTGATGCTGATGGAACTGGGACCATAGATGTTAAGGAACTTAAGGTGGCAATGAAGGCCCTGGGCTTTGAACCCAAGAAAGAAGAAATCAATAAGATGATAAGTGAAATTGATAAGGAAGGGACAGGGAAAATGAATTTTAGTGATTTTTTTGACTGTAATGACCCAGAAAATGTCTGAGAAAGATACCAAAGAAGAAATCCTCCAGGCTCTTTGATGATGATGAAACTGGGACTATATTGTTCAAAAACCTGAAACGTGTGGCCAAGGAGTTGGGCAAGAACCTGACTGATGAGGAGCTGCAGGAAATGATTGATGGAGCTGACAGAGATGGAGATGGTGAAGTCAACGAGTAGGAGTTCCTGCGCATCATGAAGAAGACCAACCTGTACTGAGATCGGCATCTTCTACTGCAAGCACATGCAGCGACAGTAGTGCCTGCCATTATGTGAGATTTGGCTTTTGAGAACTCAAACTATTTTTCCCTCACTGACCTCCCTGTATAAGTTTAGTAGTGACCTTGAATCTATTTTAGACTTTTTTGGAAGTGTTCTTTGATATTACAGTTTCTTATCAAATGATCCGCTGGTTAATTTTCAAACATAAAACAAGAGCACATTAGAGTGGAGAAGGGGTCTTAGGCTTTGAGCACCTGCCATTTTGCCTTGTATTGTTTTCTTCTTGCCATGCATTCCCATCTATATGGAAACACAGAATGACTTCATAGACAAGCACATATTGTACCTGTGTCACCACAAGCAGTGGTCATTCTTCAGTAGTTTCAGTTTTTAGTTGATGCCTGAATGTAGTTTTCTCTCACAAAAATGAGTGGACTCTAGCACTGGTATTTGGATGTGTGTTACTGCTATTTTGTTTTAACAATAAAATCTTTCTTAGTTTCAAAAAATGAAAACCAAAGCAAAACAATAAAAAGAGATTAAACCACAGAGAAAAAAGAATCTCAGAGTTAGAGGCTAAGGCTCTTGAGCTAACTCAGGTAGTTAAAGAGTCAGAAGAGAAGAGTATAAAAGCTGAGCATTCTCTAAGAAAATTAAGGGACTTCATGAATCAAACAAACATACGGATTATTGGTATCCCTGAAGGAGAAGAAGATTGAAGAAAATGCATGGATGTCCTACTACAGGATATCATAACTGAAAATTTTCCAAGCATCACCAAAGATTCTGATGTACTCCTTTTTGATGGATATTGAACCCCAGGGCATCGCAAAATAAACAGAGCATCTCTTAGACACATTGTAATGAGCTTGGCCAATGTCAAAATAAAGAGAAAATTCTACAAGCAGCCAGGAGTAAGCACCAATTAACCTATAAGGGTCAAGGTGACAGCAGATTTCTTAGCTGAAACTTTACAAGCCAGAAGAGAATGGGCTACAACTTTCAACTTACTCAAACAAAACAACTTCCTGCCTAGGATACTGTATACTGCTAAATTAGGTTTCACATTTGATGGAGAATGCAAATCTTTTGCTGACAAATAATTGTTGAAGGAATTTGCCACTACAAGACCAGCCCTGGAGGAAACACTCAGACTCATACTACATACAGATGTTCACAATGGTCCACCAGCAAAGTAAAGATTCCCAGAAATGAAAAGTCAAAGCCTAGCTTCTACAGTGACCCAAATGATAGAACCAGGCATGAGACATCCACAAGACAAGGCAAACAAAAGTCCACCAAATTTATCAATTCTCTCCATGAATATGAATGGCTTGAATTCCCCACTGACTAGCACAGGCTGGTTGACTTGATAAACAAGCCAACTATAGGCTATCTTTAGAAAACATATCTAACTTCTAAGGAAAAAAGAAGACCAGGGTGAAGGGTTAGAGAAGAATGTTTCAGGCTCACTGAATCAAAAAAAAGGAGTCACAATTTTATTTGCAGATACAAGGGAATCCAAATGGGGACAGAAGTCAAACTTCAGTCTTTAATGATGATGTAAATTTATACTTAGAAAACCCCAGAGACTCAACTACAAGACTCCTGGAAGTGATCAAGAAATACAGTAATGTCTCAGGGTATAAAATCAGTGTCCATAAATCAGTCACCTTTGCATATATCAATAACAGCCAAGCTGAGAGGCAAATCTAGGACACAATCCCCTTCACAGTAGCTTCAAACAGATTGAAACACTTAGGAATATACCTAAAAAAAGAGGTGAAGGACTTCTACAATGAGAATTCTGAAACTCTGAGAAAGGAAATAGCAGAAGACTTTAACAAATGGAAGAACATAGCATGTTCATGGTTTGGAAGAATCAACATTGTTAAAATGTTGATCTACCCAAAGCAATCTACAGATTTAATACAATCCTCAATAAAATGCCAATATCATACTTTAAAGAACTTTGAAAAGTAGTTCATTTTGTGTGTAGTCAGAAAAACCCCCATATGTCCAACACAATTATTAGTAATAAAAACAAAGTGGGTGGCATCACTGCAAGACTTCACATTATATTATAAGTGATAGTGATCAAAATAGCATGTTATTGGCACATAGAGACAGATATATGGAACAGAAGAGAAAATCTAGAGATGAAACCAGCCTCACACCACCATCTGATCTCTGATAAACCAAACAAAAGCATATGCTGGGGCAAAGAATTTTTTTTTTTTTTTTGAGACAGTTATACTTTGTCACCCTCTGTAGGATGCTGTAGCGTCACAGCTCACAGCAACTTCAAACTGTTGGGCTTAAGCAATTCTCTTGCCTCAGCCTCTCAAGTAGCTGGAACTACAGGAGCCTGCCACAACGCCTGGCTATTTTTTGTTGCATTTGTCATTGTTGTTTTAGCTGGCCTGGACTGGGTTTGAACCCTCCAACTTTGGTGTATGTGGCTGGCGCTGTAACCACTGCACTACAGGCGCCAACCTTGGAAAAGAATTCTTATGAATAAATGGTATTGGGAGAATTGTATAACCACATATTAAGGACAGAAACTAGACCCACATCCTCTCACCACTTACAAAAATTGAATCACTACGGATAAAAGAATCAAATCTTAGACACATGAATAAAAATTTTAGAAGAAACCATGGTAAAAACTCCTCTTCAGATTAGCCTGGGAAAGACTCCATTGGCAACAAAAGTAAATGGGACTTAATTAAGCTAAAAAGGTTATGCCCAGATTTGGACACAACACGTGAAAGCATGTAGACAACCTTCAGAATGGGGAAAGAGATTTGCATGTTATGAATCTGACAAAAGTTTGATAACTAGTGACAACAGAGTACTCAATCAGCAAATAAAGCACAAACAATGCCATCTATTATTGTGGAAGGGACTTGAACAGAACTTTCTGAAGAAGCCAGAAAAATGGCCAGCAAACAGTTGGAAAAGTGCTCATCTTTAATCATTAGAGAAAATTTTCAACATCACCTTGAGATAGCACCCAACCCTAGTGAGTATAGCCCACATCATAAAGTCCCAAAGCTGAAGAAGCTGGGATGATTACAGATAGAAGGGAATACTTTTACACTGCTGGTGAGATTGCAAACTAATACATCCTTTATGGAAAAAAGTATGGGAAATCCCATAAAGAAGTAAAATTAGGCATTCCATTTCTGCAACCCCACTACTACACATTTACCCAGAAGAAAGAAAAAAATCATTTTATGTAAGAACATTTGTACTAGAATGTTTATCGCAGCTCAATTTACAATTGCCTAAACGTGGAAACAACCCAAGTGCCTATCAATCAATCAACAAATTGTGGTATATGTATACCATAGACTACTATTCAGTCATAAAAAGATGAAGTGTTTATATTGTGTGTTAACTTGGATATAGTCATAGAGTTATAGTTACTTCATATTAGTAAAGTATCACCAGAATGGAAAAAAAATTACTAAAGGAAAATAAAACCAGGAAAAATCTACATAATCATTGGAAGGTAAGCTAGGGTGGGAAATCCAAAAGTCACAACTTTATTTATTTATTTATTTATTTTTTGAGACAGAGCCTCAAGCTATCCCCCTGGGTAGAGTGCTGTGGCATTACAGCTCACAGCAACCTCCAACTCCTGGGCTCAAGCGAGTCTCTTGCCTCCGCCTCCCAAGTAGCTGGGACCACAGGCGCCCGCCACAACGCCCGGCTATTTTTTGGTTGCAGCCGTCATTGTTGTTTGGTGGGTCGGGCTGGGGATTCGAACCCGCCACCTTAGGTGTACGTGGCTGGCGCCTTAGCCGGTTGAGCTATAGGCGCCGAGCCCAAAAGTCACAACTTTAAAGAGTGAGATCTATGCTCCATTGAGCTGGAATTCTACTTGTTTGTATTAATACTACCACTTTGATACATGTTCTCTCAGCTGTCTGACACATTTTGCCTGTCTGTTTACTTTTTACCTTTTGGCTTTCTCTTGTTGTTTTTGTCTTTCTTTTTTTTCTTTTTTTTGAGACAGAGTCTCACTATGTTGCCCTTGGTAGAATGCTGTGGCATCACAGCTCATAGCAACCTCGAACTCTTGGGCTTAAGTGATTCTCTTGCCTCAGCCTCCCAAGTAGCTGGGACTACAGGCACTCGCCACAATGTCCAGCTGTCTTTGGTTGGTGGTGCACTTGTCATTGTTTTTCAACTGGTTCAGGCCGGGTTCAAAACTGCCAGCCTCAGTGTAGTGGCCAGCACCCTACCCTCTGAACTATGGGTACTGCTTGCAATAGTACTATTTTTATTTCCATAGTAAATATTAGTGATGTTAAGAAAATAGCATTATGAATATTAATTCTTTTTTTAGACAGTCTCATTTTTTCACCCTTGGTAGAGTGCCATGGTGTCATACCTCACAGCAACCTCAAACTCTTAGGCATAGGCAATCCTCTTCAGCCTCTGCAGTAGCTGGGACTATAAGGGCCTGCCATTATGCCTGGCTAATTTTTTAGAGACAGGGTCTCGCTCTTGCTCAGGCTGGTCTCGAACTCCTGAGTTGAAGCAATCCACCAGCCTCGGTCTCCTGCACCTGGCCGTTGGATACTAATTCTTTACCTTAACAGAGTCTGGCTTCTAGATGGCCTATCACAGAATTCTATATTTATACAGTGGACTTAAAACTTAACCCTCACTTATTTGTTAAGTAGTCAGTATGCTTTTATCACTTTAGTAAATAAAACAGTAAATTTCCAAATAGATGATTAATGATCCAATTATAAATGTAATTAAATGACCATATCATCAATACATTTAAGATGCAACATAGTTGGGCATTGCCCTGGAACAAAAGATGATTCTGAGATTTCAAATATGGTAAGGTAATATTACTAACAATAATAATTGAGCAAAGAATGATAGGATTGCTTTGGGAGATAAAAAAATTTTAAAAAGCATAGGAAAGGTCTGCAAGATTGCTAATGCTGCTATAAAAATAAAATATCATTTAGTGAGTTATAATAATTTAATTTGTATTTTCTTTTTTCTTTTTTTTTTCCCCTTTTGGGACAGAGCCTCAAGTTGTCCCCCTGAGTAGAGTGCCTGGCATCACAGCTCACAGCAACCTCC